TCAACGTTGAGGTTTTTTTTTTTTTTTTAAACTATAAAATGGGGATAGATGAGGGGCAATAAAATGATGTCGTTAGACCACAGACTCTAAAGCTTAAAGTGCCTAGGGTTTCACTCCAGATCCATCACTAACTGGAACGTCCATCTTTGTGCATACCTAGAAAGCAGTGGAAGGACCGGGAAAGACTTCATGAGGAAAGTAATATTTGGGGTGGCACCAAGGGGTGCATAGGAATTTGACTGGGGCTGTAGCAGGAAGGAGAAGTCTTTCCAGCAGAAGAAACAGGCTGAGCCAAGGCCAAGAGATTAGAAAGTATTACTTTGCCCTAATAATGTGACTCTCCCATCCTTTTCTGGAGCCACGAGAACACAGAACATGGTACACAGTGCATGCGCACATGCGCACATGAGCAGGAGAACAAAACAGATCCTCAGAGAGACCCACTTGTTGCCTATCTTTGTGGACTGATTCTGTAGTGGTGAGAGCAAACAAAAGAAAGATTGAAGAAATTAACAAAAATATTGATGGGAGTTATATCTTGCTGATTAGATTACAGTTATTTTAATTTTCTCTAAATTTTTGTTTTCCAATTTTTCTGCCCAATAGACAAGTAGATTTTCATAATGACTCAAAATTTAAGTTTTTCCTTCCTGCTGAATTTTTCAGCTTCTGCATGTCTTTACTCAAAAATCTTTTTCTTATTTCTCCAGATTTGGAAAATTACATAGAACCTCTGGATTAGCTGGGTTGGCTGATTCACCCTCATATCCAATTGGTTTTGAAGAGTCAAAGACTGAAAGACTGTCTTAAGATTTGTATGGCTCTAGTCAGGTACTTCTGGTTGCTGGGTAGCAGACATTCATAATCGATCGACCACTGCACTCTCTCTAACAGATGGCACACATGGCTTAGGATCCAGGCAGCCACAAAGCTGCCTTAGCAAGCACTGAGACAAAGCCTCATGGACCACTGAGTAATGAGCATTGAGGCAAAGCCTATTTGCCAATGCATTAGCAGTTCTTGCTCACAAAACCAGCACATCTGAATAAGCCTAGCACACAAAACACCACCAAAAGGAAGCACCTTTGGGCAGGCTGCTTTCAGGTGGCTGTGCCTCATCCACACAAAACAACAGGAAGTCAATGTTGTAAGTGCAACTCATGTGAGCACCTGCCTGACTCTTCACTTGGGAACCCGCATCCCTGACTGGGAGCAAGGCCCGTCTGTGTCCCCACTGGAGCTATTAATTTCAGGGGGCCACACATGAAAATGTCTTACTAATGTATACAGAAGTTACATACTAGGGGCCAAGAGTTCTGTCTGCCCCACCTTGACCCACTTGTTTTTTTTTTTTAAGATTATTTATTTATTTATTCATAGAGATGCAGAGAGAGAGAGAGAGAGAGAGAGAGGCAGAGACACAGGCAGAGGGAGAAGCAGGCTCCATGCAGGGAGCCCAATGTGGGACTCGATCCAGGATCTCCAGGATCACGCCCTGGGCTGCAGGCGGCGCTAAACCGCTGCGCCACCGGGGCTGCCCCCACTTGTTGTTTTTAAAATATGAATTAGCTGCACCATTAAAAAAATAGGAAATTTTGTATACAAATCTGGATTTCTGGTTCCTCTGGAAAAATAAATGGAAAGGGCAATAAAGGAACCAATTTTCCACCTGATGACAATTGGCTGGAGCTGAGTGTAAACGGGGTGTGTGCTGTCCCACCCAGCTCAGTTTCCCCTCCCCTCTTGTCTCCTATACTACACTGTTCTGCTCATTTTGGTAATGTGCCATCCTTGTTTTATAGCCATTTCACCTACATAGGAAAACCTATTTCATACAGTCCATTCACTATCTCTATGAGATTTACAAAGGCCCCATAATGCTGTGTCTGTTGCTGCAGACTAGAGGCATCTCTGGTATTATTTCCAATTCAAGTTACCTCTTTGTATCTTCATCTTGAAGCCTGCGCCTGAAGAAGCAAGGAGCTCTGCTGCAAGCTCATTTACCCCCTGAAGACAGGAAGCTATTTAAAGCTCCAAAGAGATCTGAAGAACCCTTGAAATACTCCTGATCGGTCAGGATGAAGATTTTTTTGTTTTGTTTTGTTTTGTTTTGTTTTGCTTTGTTTTGCCTTGTTTTTGTAGGACCAATCGATTTACTCAGCTAATTTGGCTTTCAATGATCATCACAGTCAGATAAATGTTTTCATAAGGGTGGACTCTGTGGGGTCACAAGTGCAGTCTTTACAGCCACACCAGGGCAAGTGTGTGTGTACCAATCAGCTGCCAAAGGAGCATGGGCAGATCCCAGCAGGACAACTATTTTCAGGTAATGAGGGATCATGGCATTTGCATTCTCTCCAGAAGTCATGTCCGTGGCCAAGAACTTGTTCTAGTCAAGAAGCCAGACCTGCTAACAGGTTTCAGAAAAGCTCAAGGGATGGTAACTTTCTCCAAGGCATAAAAGACAGATCAGTATCAACTTTAGTAGACCGGAAGGGCAATTCCACTTGGAAAATGATTTTGACCTTTCATTAATTGAAGGACTTACTAGATGATGCTTAAAAAGCATTTACTTTTCTCAGAGTTAGGAGTCTCTCATGTTCTGTCTCCCTTTCTGATATTTCCCACTCATTTTTGACTCATAACTCTGGGACATGAACTAGGGGTGGTAGAAAGAGAGGTGGGTGGGGGGTGGGGGTGACTGGGTGACGGGCACTGAGGGGGGCACTTGATAGGATGAGCACTGGGTGTTAGTCTATATGTTGGCAAATTGAACACCAATAAAAAATAAATTTATTTTTTTAAAAAAAGCGTTTACCTACCCCCTCACTCCCGACTGAAATTAGCCAGGGATCTTTATGGGAAGAAAATACTAGACGTTCACAGGTCAGGTCAAAAAGCCCTCGTTGTCATTACTGACAGCCCCAAACACTTAAGACTGAGCCAGGATGGACACATCAGTGGAAAAGTATTTAAGGAACACAAGGTTCTGGTGGAGAGTCTTATAATCATAATCCCCACACAAGCTAAAAGAGTTCAGATATCTGAAAGTTAGATACAACATTACAGGTTGTTCATTTTCAAAGTATTTATGAGTGTACTTCGACCAACCCAGATGAGTCCTGGGTAACAGCAGTTAGTTATCATGGTATTAGGTCCAATGGCACAGCTTTTTTTCTCAACTGCCCCCTTCCCTGTGGAGCTCTTTCTGATCTCCAGGGAAGCAGAAGTCTCCCTCTCCTCTTCCTCTAAAGTACGGAATACTTATGTCTGCGAGAGCACTTATCACATTGCATTTACATGTTGTATCTTATTTCCAAGATCAAGAGCTCATCGCTGTGTCCCTGAGACCTGGCACAACAGGGTAGGGTTTTTATAGCTCAAGTGTTTGTGAAAGGTAGAAGGAAAAGAAGGAAGGATGGAGGAGGAAGAATGGAAGGAAACATGGATACTTCACATTCCTTAACCAAAGGTCTGAGCAGCTCTTCCTGGGTCTTGGCACATTGCTTCCTGTGCCTTGAGACTGCTTCCCACTTTATTAGACTAGTGTAGTCTTGTCATCTCTCAAGATGGTTCAAAACTCACTTCTTTTGGGAAGCCTTCCTGTATCTCTCTCCCACCTACCCCCCATCACTTCTTATCTCTCCCATTCATGATGTTGGCTGTCACATTTATTGGGTGTATCTCTTTGATAAATTGTGAGCAACTTTAGATCAAGAATTTCATTTTGTTCCTTCAACTTCCACAAGGAGCTCCTGGTATAGAGGCTTAATAAATATTTGTTGAATGAGCAAATTGATAAACAGAAGTCCCTTGCACATTAACCTAAGGGATGCCTATCTTAAATTTCAAAAGTGACTTAAGAATTCCATTGTGAGGGGCACCTGGGTGGCTCAGTCGGTTAAGCATCTGCCTTCCGCTCAGGTCATGATCCCGGGGTCCTGGGATGGAGCCTCATGTTGTTGGGCTCTTCACTCATGTTGTCTGCTTCTCCCTCTTCTTCTCCCTGCCCCTCCCCCCCTGCTCATGCTCTCTCAAATAAATAAAACCTTAAAAATATTCCATTGTGAGCACATGGATTTTCTACTTAATTATTCATATCAAAGTTTTAACTCAAGGGCTGCTGTTGTGTGTCTTTCTGGCTTCAGACCACCTTTCTCAGTAACCAAGGTAGCATGGATGGAACCCATCTCAATATCAACCTCAAAAATGGAATGACTTAAAGGAAAACATATCAAAAAAATTCAGGTAATTCATTTTAAGTCAAACTTAAATGATACTCTACATGCTTTCTGGTTTAAAGTATGATATTTGTGTTATTTTAAAATATTTCTATATTCCTTTCATTAAGTGAAATGACATAGAAACAAATGAGTTATGGTGAACAGACATAAAATTTCCATGAGATGATTCAACTTGGGTAGAAGAGGTTCTTGGAGGGGGATCTTAAGGAAGAGGCTTGAGAGGCTAAGCCACTGATGGCTAGAAAAATAAACAAAGTTGAGGCTATGCGAGGCAGGCAGAAGTTTCAGTCACACTATTAAGTTTGAACCTCATTCTATAGGTGATGAGGAACCCCTGCAAACTTTTCACAGAGGAAGGATGTGATCAGATCAGCCTCTCTCCCTATCAGTGTGGCAGATGTATGTGAGTTATCTGTGTCTGCTGAGGCCAAACCAAGGATGAAGGATACAGACCAAAAGATATTTGTAGAGAAGGAATATTATTTGGTGACCAATCCCATGTGAGGTGTGAGGAAATACCTTCCTTTGAATGTTTTCAATAAAACCAAATACTTCTATTTTCTTTAGAGCTTGATTGCAAATTCGGTACCAGGTCAAAAGTGTGGATATTATTACTAGCCATCCCCTTTAGATTCAGGAGAGAGATACTAAAGAAAAAAGAATTGATAATGTATATGATCCTAAGGTGGATTCCCCCCACCCCGATTTATAAGAATACATTCAATAAATTCAATGAAACTGAATTCTAATCAGGAATATGTTTATCATTCATCAGAGATTTTATTTTGCTCCATTGACTGCTTAAATTTTCAGTGAGCCTTTGATTGAGAAGCCCGTGCTAAAACTCTTGAAATCAGGCACATGGCCATTTAATCAACAACACAAGATAACACAAGAAAGGGGGCCTGAGAAAAATGATCCAAGTTTAAAGTGACAACATTCTATGTTAACAAAGATTTTATACACACTTGACGCATACAGTGCATACAATGACTACTGAATCTCCATTCCTAGGCAGCCAACGAGATTATGAATGAATTTATTAACTTCAAACAAAACTTCAGGTTGTACACTTAAAAAATTACAAACCATCTGGAGATGAAAATTAACAGTGGAAGCAACAATGACTGTAAAATATGATGGGATGACTTTAAAGAAAGGTTCAAGTATTGTTTGTAAAGTTCTTCGGACACTAGAGTCTTTGAAAAGTTTGTGCATTTCCCATCTTTGCATAGTAAAAACGAAAATGAAAACAAAAAACATACTTGGTAAAACTCCACGGCTCTACGTGATTCATGTTTCATAACATGCACCTATGTGTACTGCTCATTTAGCTAATAGGAGTAGCACTAATTCAGTGGGCTCATGCAGTGTCCCAGGTGAGCAATGAAGTTAGCGCACACCTCCTCATCCAGGTGTCATTAATTAATGCAGCAAAGAATAGCGGATGAAATGGGAACTCGTCATCACTTAACGCTAACTCTTGTTGGGTAACATTAGGATGGTGATACGCTTGTATGAGCTCAAATTAATAAAAAGGACTATTCTCACCACGAAAATCAGCAAATGAATGGCATGTGCAAGAGAAAATACAGCAAAGAGTTCGAAACGACATAACCCAATACCACCAACAATAATTATAATCCATTGTTTACGGTTGGTATGGTTGCATTACCTTTCTTTCCTATTCATACACACATAGCTTAAAGCTTGTGTATTTTACATATACACACAGATAATTTAACATTGGAACATAGGTCTGGTTACCTATGAAACTGCCAGTGTAACAAAAAGTTACACTGACATTTGCCATTATGTACATATTTGGGGACCACTGTGGTCTGATTTAAAACGTAACATCGCACACTTACAATGTTGTTTGTGAAATGCTCAAAAGTTAATAATAGAGATTTAACTTGTTTTGTAACCATCATGGTTTTGTTTTTGTTAAGTCACCGTGGTGCCTCTGGAAGAGCAGTGAAATGTATATGGTGTACTCAGTAACAGCTCGGAATCCGCTAGTGAGTAGGATCCAACAACAAGGACATAAACAATACAGTGATAGGAAGAGATGCCAAGTAATCTGAGTTTCCTCTGGGTTGAAAGAACCATCACCACTAGGCGAAGGGTTACAACCTGTGTCTTATGGAGCCAAGAATAAGGCTGATAAACCCTGTAGATAGCCCTGTTTTTCCAATATAAATATACAGCTAGTTCTAGAGAAAGACTGCAGACCTGGGTAGCACCTAGTACTCAGAAAGCAGTAACAGGATTAAGAGGTTAGGTTATGATCTACTGGGGCATACCAAAATTGAGGTTTCTGCTCTATGATTGTGACACTTCCATGATTAAATACACCTGGAAATAACCTCACGGTTTTAAGTAGTAGTTTTAGCACATAATCCTTTCCAAAATCAAAGCAAAAATTGTGACACTGGTGTCATGACTCTTGCTGAAAAGGGACCTAAAGCTAAATCTAGCAACTCATTTGGTGGTCATGAGGTGAACAGCAGGATTGCGTGTCCTGTTCCTGAAAAGAGGATGTTGGAGAAGTGTGGGCTTTCTGGGGGCCTTCGGGAAAGCTCCTCTCTATAAATGGGTGCTCACTGAAGGACTCACGTACTAGGTTCTACAATCAAAACCAAGTCAGGACCAAATTTATTAATGTATATACTTAACACTTGAATAGAAGCTATCTTGTCATAAATGGAAGAAGAAATCGATGCCAGTGAAGCAAACTCGAAGGGACTTGGGAACCCAGATTACATCTGCACATCTGCCTGAAGGCAAGAGAAGATCATGATTTTGTGAACAGTAGAATCCCATCACAATCTAGAACATTCCACACACCACACTGTGGGACCAATGAGATTTGTTGGAAACACAACACACAGACTTAAAGCCTACGAAGGCAACACTCGCAAGAAGGCAACTGCTACCTCGGTGTCCATTACCGGTTTGCCAGTGGGGTTCTACCAAATGTATTTTGAGGCAGGAAGAAGAAACATGAACGAAATGTTGACAATAATAGATACAAATAAAATGGAAAGCTTAACTTTTTCCCCAAGTTTTTAACATTTAAAAGTTTTTTTTTTTTTTTTTAATTTAAGGCTTTAAGTTTATCCTCCTTTCACATTGAAGACAGGGAAAGAAAACTGTCAAAACCAAAAACCAAAATCATGAGCTTGGCACTTCTGTGATTAATTCGAGAGGGTGTCTACTTTCTTACATTATATACATACATTTATAATAACATCAAAAAAATTTTAGACTTGTTAGTACATATATTTGCATTTACATAATTTTTGTGTTTTTAATATGGGTTATTTAGTTGTTTGTGTACCACCAGACCCACTCCCACCCCCCACTTTTGCTTATTTTTGGTTTTAAGCATTTCATTCAGGTATTTCCTTTTTAAATTGCACCTGTTTTGTGTCCAAACTCCCTGTATCTGTGGCTACATCTGTCTTTTTTAAGCAAGCCCCCAAATCACTGAACAATATGTTACCAGAGAAGAGAGAGAGAAAAAACAGCAAAAAGAACCCAAAAGATGGGGAGCAAACAATAAACTCAAATCTACAGAGAACCTTTACAAGAAAAATATTTCAGTACAGACAAGTGAAAATGATGTGTCAAAATCTCTTATTTCCATATTTACATTTATAAAAGAACTATACAATAGCATCATTGTTCAAATTCCAGTTCCCATTTCCAAAGGATGCTTGGTCCAGGAAAACACACAATGGGAAAGTGACTCAAGGAGAGCAGGGGTCTGTGGAGTCTCTCGTGGCCCGGTCTAGACTCGGGGGTGAGGGCCAGGCAGCCTCCATGTGTTCATCGCTCATCCTCACCTTAGGAATTCAGTTGCAAGTTTTGCTGCGGATTGGCTTGCTAGCTGCTTGTTGTATATATGCCATGCAGATTTTACCCTTTCGAAAATTAGATCTTCATGCCACTGGAGTGTGTCATTGGTAGGAAAAGAAAAAAAAAATCATGCCAAATCATTTAGAAGATATTAAGTGCCAGCAGGCTGAGGAAAGAAAAAAAATCATTTGCTATTTTTTAATGGTTCTTTTATTGCACTTCATTTTTTGTTATTGTTCCTTCTTCCTTTAGTTAGAAAAAAAAAGATTCGGAAATAGTTCTTTTATAATATTGTCTTTTATCCCCTTTTATTGACAGGTGGTGAGAGGGGTTCTTTGAAATTATTTCCCAGAATGACAGTTTCCTTTTAGCCCATCCCCATCCCCCAACTTCAGCTCTGTGGTCATTATCACCCAGTGGTCTTGGTTACAGACTCAACACTTCCGGCAACAGTGCTGTGAGTATGTCACACCCAGGATCCAACAGCACGAGGCACCGCTCACCCAGTGCCGCGGAGTCAGATGGGGCCTTGCTGAGTAGGGTCGAACCTCCTCTTCTTGACATTTCTTCCAGAGATGCAGGCAGGGAGGGAAAAATCCACAATATTAATCAGATCGCGAGGAGAGGAGGGTGATGATAATGACAACAATGCTAGTTCCAGAGCAAAGTAATCAACTCACACAGAGGCAGACTTCCCAAAATAACTGGCAACACAGAACAGCTCATGCTTTTGAATGTCTTTACAACATCTCCACTAGAGTACATCCATTTGTAAGACCAAAAGGAGCTTCGAGTTGCTCATTTTAAATCACTGGAAGCCTCCGCAGCCCAATTTGTCTCTTATTTCAGCAGTAAATGATACGGCTAATTTTAACCAGATGAACATGACAGGAAGGGCTCTTCCTACATTCTGGAGGGCTATTAGGGGAACTACGCAAAACTCTGAAGGGCTCCTTGATGCTTCCTTCCAGGACTTGAGAATTCTGTATCAGTCAGTCGGCCTTTGCCAAGAGGGCAAAGAGCCTTGTTCTACTCAGTTATCTTGCTGCCTTGGGTGTGTGAGCTCTTACCCCACCATGGAACAAACATTTTTCATATCCAAGCAGTTGAAAACCAGAGTGCACAGTACGACAGTACACTCAAAGGAGAATGGACACAGGCTCGGGTTAGTTAAGCAAATGCAGCAGTAAGCTTAGTGGAAATTAGCCAGTTAAAATGCCTTGCTCGCAGTGTCCAGTCTCCTAAAAAGTGGGTCCTATGTTTAAAAAGAGGAAAGGTAAGAACCAGCAAGACACTACAAGGCAACAACACAAGGTGGTTGCAACCTCCCCATGGTCTGGCTTCATGTGGGGCATCAAGCAGGGGGGGCTCATGCATTGAGTCTGCGCACTGGGCGGGTGCAACGCTGCTGGCCACCGAGGCGTCATGCAAGACTGGAGCACCAGTTGTCCCCGAGATCCCGCTCTCCCCTGCCCGCTCAGGGCCAGCTCAATATCCTTTCAGGCCTCCGTGCCAAAAAATTCCAGCGTGTTCCTCCTCCCCACCATGTAAGTCAAAATAAACACAATATTGAAGCTCAAAATACGCATTAAAGGCATCCCGCCAAGTTCTCATTTGTCCCGAGGTGACCACTTTGATACTCCCTTTTTGAAATAACAAATTAAAAAAAAATCTTTAAAGAAAATCTCCCTTTCCTTTTAAAGGTTTTCATGAAAATGTCTTCATTAATATGCCTAAGCCTGTGGTTTGCCGACCTGGCAGGTAATCCACTGCCACAAACACTACAGCAACAGCGCTGCTTCCTTTTTCCCCCATTCCGTCACCTCCGACAATCCTCTTTTGAGTCAGTTATTCTTGAAAGTGGGCATTGCTGCTCCAAGACCAAAAGGGACATGCCCCATAATGCAAGTGGCTCAGAGTTCCTTTGCTTGGGAGCACAGGACCTGTGCCTGCTTCCCACACTCACAGCCCTTAGAGGTAGATTTAGAAGGAACAACTCTACCCATGAGTCAGGTGGGGAAAAACGAAGACTGCCTGACCCGGCCAAATGACTCTGAAGGACCAGGGGCTCCAACCAACTTAGCTATCTGTTGCTGGAATTGAAGACAAATGGGAAGCTAATGTCCCCTCAATTAAAACGAATATAAAGATCAAGCCAGCTAGCGCTGGGCATGTAAATGACAACCTTGCTCACATCTAAATTCCCTTATTCGAATTCAGCGGATGGCAGATCAACAGCCATGTCCAAGATCTTAACTGCAATCCAGTTCATTTTTAAATGGAGATAGGAATTTCTATTTCAGCCTGGCATCCAGTCAACCTCCAGGGTCCAAAAGTTTGTGCTCCTTTTAAAAATCAGTGTTTGAAGTTTAGATTGCATTATTTTAAGGAGGATATAGTCTACAGGGTGAATGGGTTCCCAGGTCAGACCAGGAGGACACATCACCCTGTAGAATCATGTATTTCTATGGGAAAATGGACTCCAAATACCAACAGGGCACAATCTTTCCCCCACAGATGTTCCAGCAGGAGGAAGGCAGGGGCCTGTGATGAGGACAGAGAGGGACCCTCCTATGGCAGGCTGACTGTGACAGCTCTCTCACGTATAAATTGCAAAACTACTATGGTGAGTTCTGAGAACCCACCATCTATCGAGAATTCCCTATGTGGAAAAAGTCTTTTCGTTCCATTTCAGTGTGAAAGCACAACCATCACAGGTAGATGTTTGCTGCCTTCCTTCCACAAGCGTTTCATCTGAACTCCCTCTGCTCACTAGGAATGGGAAGGCAATGAACTTTGTCATCATAACGTGTAAGGTATTTCTGGATCATTATTCGATATTAGCTAATCCATAAGCCCTCCATTGACCCAGTTTTCATCAATCTTTATGATGTCTGAAAACCTATACTCTTGTCTACAATATATATTACATACATGTACATCTATACAAAGTTAAAATAAAGTTTTTCCGGTTAACAGCAGCCATCTCTAGTTTGTAAAAGCCTTTAGTTTTTTCAAGGGTATGTATTCATCGATTGCTATTACCTTCACATCCTTCCACAGTGAGTCATCACGACCCACCAAGAACCCTTCACTCAATCCCTCCTAGGCCACCTGTGACTGCATTCATTTCCCCAGAGGTCTGAGTCAGGGTCTTCCTAGCAGGAAGAAATCCCACAAGACCAGCCTCCTAGGTCTGAGTGAAAAAGTGCCTAACCCAGGAATTGCAGGATTTAAGGGAATTAGGCTCCTTGTTCCACTGGGATATGGTCATGGAATTCAGATAAGCAGGAGCCTGGTTTTCCTCCCAGAAAGACTAGCTAAAATTGATTCGATTTCCTAACTCTACAAAATCAAAAACAAAAGACATTTGCTCTTTTGAGAAAATATAATTAGCAATATTAAATTCCTTACAAATTTCATCCAACTTGACACTCAAAAATCCAATCTTCCTGTGATAAACCCAGATATGATCCTTTACATATCATTTATGCGAGTACCTTTTGTTTTATCTTTTCTTTGGTTTGTCCTATGAAATGGAACACAGGCCAAACAGAATAGCTTACAATCAAAAGCGGGCTCAATAAGAATCTGTACCCCCAGTAACTTCTCATAGAGAGGAAATCACGGTTACTATACAGACTTATCAAAGTAACACTTTTAATGTCCAGAGCAGCTCTTCCAGGCCAGTATGACCACTACTGGCATGAAATTACATTGAGACAGCAAGTGATAGGAAGTGGGACATGGTGATAGGGCTCTAGAGTCCGAAGCACGGTAATATGGTTGGAAGAGCTCAAGACTCACCCTCAAATCTAGTCAACAATCTATATCACTGTTACCTTCAAGTTTTTTTTCCTATTATCACCTAGAATTTCTCTCTCTGACCACCATCACTCGTGGTGTTCACATACTTCATATGCACGTCATAACTGTATTGCTCATATCTAATGCCTGTATTCAAATTTAGGTAATGTCAGATCAAAAGCCATGTCCAAGGTGGTAACAGAAATTCTGTTCACTTTTAAATGGAACCATGAAATCCTCTTTCCATATATTTGTTACCTTTTCTAAGATTTAGAGGAGATGCTACTAAAACGGCCCTTCATCTACTTGATTTTTCTAATGTCTAAGCAACAGCCCTAAAAATCGAATCAAGTAGTATTACTATTCAAAACTGAACAGAGGTTATGAGTCTTCATGAGTCAACCAGGACCAAGGTTTGCAACACTCTGCAGCACAGTCCACAGCTTTACTGTATGTGTGTGGGTAATGGAGAGGAAAAGGAACATGGGGGCGGTGGGCATGTAAATAGATGCAGATACAGGGGAAATGCTAGACAAATTGATGTGCCAAGAACCTACCTTCATTTTTCACAGGATTTCTCAGAGAAAAGTACTAACACTCCAAAGACTGGGAATCCACAAACCAACTACTTCTGAGGTATGGAATTAATTGAAGTTACCACACACTACCCCACACATCAGAATATGTGAAAGAAAATAACCTGCCAAATAGCATTTTTTCTCTTTTCGGGAGTTTTACAACGAAGCTATGGAAGTCTTGTTTGCATGAAGCAAAGCTTGCAGACTATTATTCTGCTAGAAAGATGTCATCTACACTTACGTTGTTTTTTTAAATCACAGTTATCTTGACAAAATTACATTATCATTTATTCGCACAAAGGTGCACACTTTCACACATGCATGCACACTCACATAGATTCATGCTTTTTACCACCTATTTCAGAGGAAATATGGCTTAAGAAATAAACTATAGAGAATGGCAGATGTTGCCAGGGGTCAGAGCATAGCTGTTTTCTTATCTATACTTGAACAGGTCATGTACGGTTGACACTTCTTCCACATTTAAATTGCTCACGGTGTCCCACCTCAAGAAATGTGACTTTAGGAAAAAGCGATACTTCCCTGGAGCATTAATATGTTTCCTCTATTTTTTTTAAATAATGTTTCCTTTAGCCTGAAAGTTCAGGTACCCTCAAATTACTCAGGCAACTTTGCTACTGGCTTTGCTTTTCGCATCTAGTAAAACACAATTTCAGGAAGGATTTCCAATAAAAGTATTTAAAGCAATCTCTTTTATAAACGATTTTCAACTTCTGATCCTAAATGACTCTTTTGTATTTACTTTGAGTTCCATGAAAAACTCAGACTTTCAGTTCAATTAGCAAATACCTTCTAGACAAATCTCCCAAATTGCCCAAGTGGTAGGAAAACCTAAACTGCACCATTTGGCACCCAAAGCCTTTCCTTGCAAAGTAGAGGTAGCTATATTTAACATTTAATGTAAACCACATGGCTACTATTGAAATCTAAAGCAAATTCAGATCTTCGTATCTGAAGAGTCAGCCACCAAGAGCCACCTCGAAGAGCAGTGGCTCCTCCAAGTTTGAATTCCAGCCTCTAAGAATCATCTTCACTTTTTTGTCTAAGGCATAAAGATACTTCACATTACCGTGTGCCACCCTACAATGTTTTCCTTTACAGAAATTTTTAGGGTCATAGGGCACGGGAAGGGGCATTGGATTAGGGCAGCAGTACACTTG